TCAAATTATGTGGGAAACACTGGATATGGTGAATAAAACCAGAAAAAACACTGAATAAACAGGAGATGAAATGTACAGCAAAGGAAGAGCTTGGCTTATCTAAGATTGTGTAAAAGCACGAGGAAGAGCGAATTAGGAACATCTGCAGGTTTACTTAAAGAGGACCTATCATGCAAAATGCACTTTTGTACGTCTTTTCTACATGAATATGTGTCCCCGGTGTTCCAGGGAACTCACCAAGTGTCAGAAAACACAACCCTCTCTAATTTCTCCATACCTTAATCTCTTAAAAAGGGGCTGCAACGGATCTGATACAGACTGATCCAGATTTGAACACTTCTATGACGTCACAGAAGTGGCGCTACCAACTCCACCAATCAGGAGGAGACAGCCACGGACATTGCCGTTCTAAAGCGCTGGAGACGCTGTAGTACATATGCCAGGCCTGTAGGTGGTGCTGTTCCCACAGAATCAGCCCATGGAAAGACGGTGTTAAATTGAGCGAAATGAGGAATGGCTAAAATGCATGATCTGTTTGGTATTTTGAAAAATAAAAAGTATAAATATGTCTTATATATGGTGTATGGTCCTATATTATTCAAATATAGCATGATAGGTCCACTTTAAGCTAAGTTGTTTTCCATTTTCCCGAGCCTTTATTTTAGTCCATATTGGGACTGAATTTCGCATCTAAAGCACTCGGGATACAAATCCAAAAGCTCTTTCTGTCTTTATAAATAGAAATCACAAATTCATCAATCATAAAGTGTGCTGCCTTTCTATAATCCATTACGCTTGATTGTGTGCCAGATTCGTTACCTGAAAGAGTTGTCTTTATGAGTTTAGAGCAGAGGGTGCAGTGTAACTGAGTAAAGCCTTGACTCTTATTTTAAACCTTTGAAGGCACCATGGCTTGTTTTCATTTTGTGTTGTCAATCACTTCAGCAACAGGTGCCGCTTAGGGTCAAACCAAATCTCCTCTGAACCACATGAAGATACATTTCCAATAAACAGGCAGATTCTAACTTTACACTTTTTACTCACTACATTTATCTGACAGCTTTAGTAACATTAGCTATTCATATATATAAACTAATAAATAAACAAAGTCATATATTTCATGTATTTTTTCTGTTTTGTTTATCTCTTTTTGTATTTCTTTGTCTTTTTTTTGTTGTGTTTTCTTAATTCTCTGTCAAAGCGTCTGTGAGTTTCATGAAAAGCGCTATAAAAGTCCCATGTATTATTATTATTATTATATAATTCTAGATTTAGGTTTTCAAGTAATTTAAATCAACTCCACCTTTACCAGCTGTGATGAACACTTGAATCCATCAATAATAATAATACAGTAATTTAATTTATATGATCCCAAAAAATGGCCATTACGCACAACAAGCTATTTTCCTTTTGGTATAAGTATGTTTTTCCAATACTTGTTTACTTTTACTTAAGTTAGATTTTGAAGGCAGGACTTTTTCTTGAGTATTTCTACAAGTTGTTATTGCTACTTTTACTTAATCAGTAGATATTCATCCTTGTATGGACTGACGTGCTTAATATCAGAACTTTTACGCATCAAATTCTGGCTGCAGAAAACGTTTTTTAAAAACATTTGACCCTGATATAACCTGTGCGAGGTTCCGCTCACCAGCTTCCTCTGGTTGCTGAGGCAGAAAGTGCAGATGGGCCTCAGGGAGGCGGCGCCGCCTTGCAGGATGCTCGGGTATCCGAGGCAGGGCTGCCCGTCTCCGCAGTCCTCCCCCAGCAGCAGCACGTTGGTCAGGTGCGAGATGTAGCTCGAGGCCAGGCGCAGCGTCTCGATCTTGGAGAGCTTCCTTTCGACGGGCTCTGTGGGGATGAGCGTGCGCAGCGAAGTGAAGGCCGTGTTCACGCTGTGCGTCCGGTCCCGCTCCCGCGCGTTGGCTGCCTGCCTCTGTTTGCTCACCCCGGCGAGACACCCGTCGCCACCGCTGCTGCTGCGTCTCCGCCTTCTCCTTCTCCGGTCACCGGCCTCCTCCTCCCCCGGGTCTCTGCACGGGCTGCAGTCTCCGGTGGACTTCCCGTCCGAGCTGTCGCTGCCGCTGTCCAGGTCCTCCAGGTCGGAGGTGAAGCCGTCGGGCTGCGCGTTGCCTGTGGACTTCATCCTCTCTGTGCTCCTCGCTGCTCCTCTCTGACTGGAGCCTCCGGGGCCGCGCTGCACATCACTTTATCCTCAGGGTGAAAATAGCTCCGGGGCCGAGCAGCTGCCGCCGATCCGGTGACCAGAGGGGTTCTGCGCCGCGCTCCGGCCCCCCGGCGGATCGGCATACCACAGCTGATGAATGACGGCTGCTTTCTGGGTCGCCAGCGCGCTGCGGAGAAGGGAGGACAGGTGGAGCCAAAAGGGGGGAGGAGGGGGCACCTGTTGTGGTGTACCGTTTAAATTAGGCTGCACTCAATTGGCTGCATTCAAGGCCAATTTCAGGTCAAAAACAATGAAATGTTAGCCTCTATCCGGTGTTTTACAAAACATTATTCAGCCATGTTTTATTCTGTACACCCTAATGGATAATTTAGCCTACTATACACTACATATACAGACAACATTGTGCCCACATGTAATCAAAGATAATTTGCTAAAACACAGTTAAAGTAAATAACAGCTCCAGCTTTCAAACATCATGTCTTTCACTTAAACAAAAATGGCACTAAGATTATGGTAAGAGAAATGGTAGTCATTTTAATTATCAATATCATATTTGTTTTGATTATTTTGTTTCATTCTTTAGAGTTACATATTAAAAACATCTGATTGAACAGGAAAACTTGAGAATTATTATATGTTATGCTTTTTATATCTCTAAAACCAGTGGGGTAAATAAAAAAGTACATTAACTCAAGTGCTGTATTGAATTAACATTTTGAGTTACTTTACTTTTATTAAGGAATCTATTATACCTTAGACTTTGCTCTTATTATTCAAATTCATCCTCATTATAATCCCATTTTATAATATACACATACTCAGAAATCTGCATTAAGCATAACAATAATGTAGGACAAAGTAGTAAAATATCTGCATTCTTATTCTCTGTCTGAAACATGTTTTAATGCTTAATACTTTAATATTTAGTCTAAAACTGCAAGAAAATTCGGAATATTTACACACATTTCATCATTTTTTTAACTTCCACTCTCAGCTCAGATTAACTAAAGGGTCGTGTGTGTGTGTGTGTGTGTGTGTGTGTGTGTGTGTGTGTGTGTGTGTGTGTGTGTGTGTGTGTGTGTGTGTGTGTGTGTGTCCAGGCTAGTACATGCACTGAGTGAACAGTGCAGGTGGACCGTCCTGTCTGTGCCCACCAGGATGGACACCCCCCCCCCCACACACAACACCTTGCCCAGTGCCATCTTTGGGGGTGGATATAAATATCATGTGGACTGACGATGCCTGCTGTGTGTGTTTATGTTAGTGTGTGTATGTCTCTGTGTTGCTGTGGTCAATCTAAGTGTTATCTGCGATTTTGTGCAGATTAGTAATCATTCATAAAACATTTTAATATTTATTCATATATTTTAATTGTATTATTATTAATATTATCCCCATTATTGTTATTTATATTATTTTTGTTTTATATTTGTAATAAGGCCACCAGAGGGCAGTAAACATCCAGAAATGTCCACAACGTTTTTTGAACATTTTCAGCCTAAGCAAATACAACATACACAATTTGATCATTTCTTAGCGTCAAAGGTTATTTATTATCTCATATTTGCCTAGGGTCCTATATTAATAAATTATGTTTTGATAACTTGCTATCATGGTTGATTCTAACTGCAGTCCTTTTATTGTAAATATGTTCGATGGATGAGAATTAAATTTAAGACAGTAGATAAAAAGCAGCAAAAGTCTTGGGTACATTTGGAAAATGTAATTGTTTTAGTTAACACAATGTCCTGTTTCTTTATCTGCAGAGAGTCAGAGGGCAGGAGTCAGAGAGAGGAGGCGGTGCGGAGCTAATGCGTCCTCATTAATCTCTTAATCCTCATTTCCTCTCCGACCCGCTGCCCGTGAACTCGTCTGACCCCACGAGTAAGAAACTGCTGAAAAACTGAAGTCAAAATAAAAAAATAATTGAAACTTGAACTCTTTCCAAAACTTAATCGTCTCCATTTAAAAAAATCTAGACACAAAAAGAACCTAAAAGATTACTAATGCTCATTAAATTATTCCTTTCTGCATAAATAATCTGAAGAACCATCACCTTTAAAGGACCTTTATTTGTTTTTTTATAAAACAACCAATAAACAATGCCTTAATAAGAATAGATTATACATTGATATACACAGGAAATATGTGACAATATAAAACAACCAAATAAATAAATACTCATACAGAGGTTTTATATATCCTGATAACATTTACAGTAAGAACTCTGAATACCCCCGCTAACTTGAATATGATCAACCTGACTTTATAAGGAAATAGCTGCTTGTAAATGTATGCTTCATGTTAGCTCAAAAATAAGAAATATACTATTTAAGAGGAAACAAAACATCTGACTAAATTAGAAATGTGACTAAAATATGCATATTGGATGTTTTCTTTCACTAGTTTGGAAGCAAAATAGCCCAAGAGCTTAACAAAATGACCAGTGCATGAAAAACTAAGCCTGTAGTGTGGTGTCAAAAAGAAAAGGGTGCATGTTTTACACTTTTTGATGACGTTAATAGTCAAACCCAGGTAATAATCTCCTGTCTGCTGATCTCTAGTCAGCGCCTCGTTAGCCTGGAAGCAGGAGGACTGAATGTGACTCGGCTTTCTTTCCCAGTGAGGAAACACTTTGGTTTTTCCTCATCGTTTCTTCGGTTCTCCCGAAGGTTTGATATGTGCTCGTTGAATTCCTGTTTCATTCTTGATGCTTGTTATTCGGTCAACCTCTGGAAACAGGAAGCTGAAAAGACAAGAGGGTTTTAAAAATGAAGTAGATGTGTGTGCATGCACAGTGGCAGGAACAAGTGGGTGAACCCTGTGTACTAAAACAGATCCCATCTTCACCTAGGTTACAATAATCAACAAACACAATCTGTTTGTACTTATCACTCACCCATTATTGTTTGTTCTTGTCCATATTGAAATCATTGTTCAAACATGAACAGTATAGGTTGGAAAAAGTAAGTGTAGACTTTAACACAAGCTAACTGAGTTTATTTTAAGAAAAGGTGCAGAGGACAGATCAGCAGCTGGTCGTCTCGAGACATTGGCAGTTAAATGTCAGCTGAAACGAAGCGCTACATTTGTCTTTGATCAGGGCACACTGTATTCCACCGTTCACAGCGCCGCAATACATCATCATCTGTCACGGGTCAACTCGTGAGGTGGGACGCATTTTCACGTGTTTCCAGTTTTCCTCGAATGCTTTTGACGTGTATGTGTGTCTCATACCAGCTGCAGAGGAATAACTGAACCGTATGCGTTCCTTCCTGAAAATGCTACCAGACTAGCACCTAACATGCAATTAAGTCAACTTGGTTTTGACTTTTATCTGTGAAAACCATAGGTGAAAACTGACTAGAAGACGGGAAAAGATTTGTTATTTTAAGCTTAAGTGATTACAAGTCTTGTTTTGCATATGCCGAGCCACCTTTTATTAATAATGTATGCTCTATTTTCAGGTCTTCTTACCCGTCTGGAGCAAAGAGAGCCGGTGAATCCGCTCCTGCAGGCGCAGACGTTTGGCCGGATGCAGCGACTGCCGTAGAGACATTTGGATTCGCAGATGGCTGAAGAAAAACACGGAAAACAAAAATAATCTGAGTATAAAATAATTGCATCTTGACAAATATCTCACTGGGAATCAGAGACAAGTGTATCATGGCATATGTTCACTAGAAACTGAGTTATATTAACAGGTGCATTATTCTTTTGTTTAGTTTTCTGTAGGAAACTCACGGATCTGGCACAGCATGCCCTGCCACCCTCGGGTGCAGTGGCAGGTGTTTGAGCCTACACACTCCCCCCCGTTCAGACACATCTGCAGACAGCTGGCTGCAGGGAGACACGAGACACACACACGACACACACACATATTAAAGCAGCACAAGTCAGAGAAAAGTCACAAACATCAGGGCTGAATGACATACATTCAAACACAGCACCATTTTATAAGACTTTCTAAAATACTAATCTAAAATCAAGTTGAAAAGACAAACCGTCCAGAATCCAGGCCTGAAATACGTCTTCAATTGCAGATGTCTCGGAAGAATTGAGATTTGACTTGGACCCAGAAATGTCTTGTGCTTCAACAGTCAGCATGTACCCTTTAACAAGGCACTAACACTTCAGCTGCTCTGATTTTCATTCAGTAAATCAGAGGAGGAAGTAACAACGGACATGCAGGAGAGGGGGGAGGAGCTGCAGATGAATCAGGTGTGCAGACGTGAGTGACAGGTGTGACACCGATGAAAGGGGAGGGGTCACATCACACAGCTTCAGCAGGTCATGATTTTCTGTTCTTAATCCCCCTTTCTCAATGGATTTGATTTGAGGTGAATCCTATCTTCCTTATCTCTTCTGATCTACTTGTAGGTTTGCATGTATTCTACAAGCTTTTGACAGATTAACTTCACACAGATGTTCACACTGATGCGTTATGGGATCCAACATGCTGTAAATGTTGGGAGTTATGTATCGGTACGGATGGCACTTACGTTTATCACATCTGGTTCCACGCCAACCTGACGGACAATCGCAAACATCTGGACCCACACACCTGCCTCCGTTCATACACACCGGCTCACACACACCTGCAGATAGAGGGAGAGGGAGACATGGTTTGAAGATGAAGGACAATACAGGACGGAGAGGATGAGGAGGAATTTATACTGACTTTTTTCGCATTGCTTCCCGGTGTATCCCTGCAGACAGGAGCACACGTTGTTCCTGATACACACACCTCCATTCTTACAGGGAGGACTGCACACAGCTGCATGGGCAAGACATTGATTCAAAATCAATTATGTTCCTCACTTAAGCTTTATAAATGCTTGACCAGCAGAAAAAACATATTGTTTAATTGATTAGTTAATTTGTACCGTTCTGACACTGTGCACCGTAGGATCCGTGAGGACACTTGCAGACATTCGGACGGACACACACTCCTCTGTTGAGACACATGGGAGAGCAGAGAGCTGCAGAGAGAGAGACAAGAGGTCAGTATAGAATATGCACATCAAAACATACTCACACACACACTCACACACACTTACCAGTCTCACAGGAGAGCCCGGTCCAGCCTGCCGGACACACACACTTGTCCGGAGACGCACACCGGCCTCCGTTGTGACAGTGACGGCTGCACACCACTACAAACAAGAAGAATATTAATTAAAATATGCAAATGAAAATCAGATCAAATCAAATTTAAGAGAGTTAGTGTGCACTCACTGGTCTCACAGCGAGGTCCCACAAACCCATAGGGACAGGAGCAGGTCTGCAGCCCCACACAGGAGCCTCCATTCTCACAGGGAGACCTGCACAGAGCTGCACACACCACTTTAGATTAACTACCTCATATTGAAAATCAGAAAAGCTTTATTCGTCCCACAGAGGGGACATTAACAGTGTTACAGCAGGAAGGAAAAAAAGACAAAATACATATTAAATAAAGCATAAAACTGCTTGGAAAAACGTTACCTTCCTGACAGGTT